GGGGGTTAGAGGTATTGCAAACAAAGCTCAACTTCTTGACCACCAACCCCCAAAATAAAATAGACTGTAAAGATCTATTCAAACTGATGAGTCACCTTATAACAGTTCTCAAGTTCCCTGCCGTGTGGCCTGTTCCCTCCCCTGTTTAAGTGTTACTGACGATGCCACACGTGTTTGCACAAGTGTTCCTACTCCAAGATGACAGGCCTACGGAAGATCGACCAGAGCATCTTCTCTTGAGCAAGACGCAGCCTCTATGTGACAGGACCTCTGAGAGCAATGTCACATCATCTCAAGTTGGACTGCGGAAAAGGGTTTGAAAAGCGTGGGAAGGGTTTCATTGCCTCCAGCACCTCCCCAAGACATGTGGCCTCCACCCACCCGGGACGGAGTTTTGCAATTGCTCCCCACTCTGGGCTGGACTGCTGGCCGGGCAGGCAGTTCAGGCCTCAGCACCAAGTCAGCAAACGGGGTTGTACAAAGAAAAGGGGAAAAAACACAAATTAAATTAAGAATGTGCAGAATACAAACAGTCAGCTCTGAACACACATCTTTAATTATCGCCTTTCCTAACGGCAAACATGTGGACAGCTGTTCGGGAACAGAAGGAAGGGTGGCCTGGTGGTCAGGACACACAGAATGATAGTGGAGCTGGAATTGACGTTTCCTGAATAAGGTGCTTTTCCCCTTTGATATGAACTATTTCTCTATAAGTGACACAGACAGAACATGGAGGAATTGACATTCATTTTACCTTAAATCATTCAATAGGACTGTAGTTTTAATTTTTATTTCCCCACACACATATGAGATTTCCAATGTAGGGCCTGTCGACCATGTGAAGGGAGAGTTAGACAGAATATTGTTTTGTGCTCCAGTGAGTCACTGGAGAAGCTGCACGAGGCCATAGTTAAGGAAACCCTTTCTTAAGCCAGGCTGCCTGCTTCAGATCCTGACTCTACTCCTTGCTGGCTGTGTGATCTCAGACAAGTTGCTTAACCTCTCTGTGCTACAGTAACCTCATCTGTAAAATTATCCAACCTTTCTGTCTTCATCTGGGAAAAGAGAGATCACACATCTGAAGGTTTTCTTATCAACTGCCTAATAAACTAATGTATTTTCTATAACACGCAATAACATCAAACGTGCTATTTCTACAGTCTGTATAACAGGAAAAAGAAGAGAAAAGCAGAGAAAAGGGGGGGGGCAGAAAATCAAATTCCTTGAAGCATTCTACTCAAATAGATTCCTAACACACATACAATTAAAATACCTGTTTTTAGGACAAAGGTAGAGGAAACTATATATAAGGCCATTCTTTTATTCCCTGGAATATGCCATTGTCATATCTATTGAAATGCAATAAACTTTGACTTAACAAACATAAGAGAAACCTGGAAAAATAAAACATCATATGTCCTCATGAATCTCAAACAGAAATGGCAATTTGCAATCCTACTGATAATACTCCCCGTGTACATTACAATAACCCGGTTTTTTTTTTTCTTCCAACAAGTAAGTGCAAGTGGGGACACTGCCCCATTCTATTCACAATGTTCACAACTAAAGGTTGTTTTGTCATTTTGCTGACACTTGCTCTTTCGTCAAGGAGAGTTACATACTTTGCTTTAAAACATCTGGACTCACATGGGAATTAGGGGAATGCTGAAACTACAAGAATGCTCTGTGCCTGGTGCTGGTCTTTAATTCTTTATAGTTTGTGTTTGTTTTTGTTTTGGCTCTAAGCAGATCTAAACATTTTTAATTCATTCTACGAGAGAGAAACCAATATAATATCAAATATCCATATGTCAGACTCAACAATCCTTAGCCAGAAGGAATATTTATCCTTATGTTACAAAAATTCTTTAGTGTTTTCACAAAGATGAATTTAAAAGCAAAGAATGGATGTTAAACTATAAAAAAAAAGAGAGAGAGAAGCATTTGAAAACTGAATTTCTTTGCACTGGTAGATAATTTAGAATGTGGGTCAAACCTTCCAAGGCGATACCTGTATTGTGCCCACTCTTCAGGGGACATCTGGCTCCCCAGTCTTACCCAGCTGCGCAGATCATCACAACTGATGTTTCATAAGCAAACAGACAGACAACCACATTTATACGCACTTAACGTCAACACAATCTGACGTACATCACTACGTACTACATTTGACGTAGATAAAAATATTAGCAATTATATTTTAAATGTTTTTTAAAAAGGAAGAGCATCAGCAACCTGTCTACTCTTCCACACACATTCAGTCCGGTATTTCGCAGAGCGCCTGCCACCTCCTGGGGCAGCAAACCGACACAATCTCCAGTTCCACGGGGGTGGGACAAATAACATGTTTATGAAAAGCTGCTTCTAAAGGCCCAGTTCCTAATGGAATCCAAAAGCCCAATCCCCAATGGAACCCAAAGACGGGTAGAAGTATTTCATTCACTAATTCTGACAATTAATACATTCCTTTCCAAACTCAGGTCACCGGGACTGAGCCCCGCTGGACGGCGCTCACCTGCGGTGTACGCCGAGGCGGTCGTCATCGTCTTCCTGAAGGGCGTAACAGTAGCTGCTTTCTCCGCTTCCAGCTCAGCCACTGTCTTCGGTTTCTCCGGGGCTCCTTGAGGAATATTTTTTGGAGTGGGAGCAGGGAAAATCACTTCGCCATCCTAAAAGAAATTAGAAAAAGAGTCAATCCAGGGTTTAAAAAAGATATAATGTCTGGGGGGGAAAAAACGTTCCTTTAAAAATAATTTTAAATAAGTTCATATAATTTATAATTTGTCGCTTTATGTGAATATACATGTGTATATAAACATATATTTGTGTTATAAATAATGCATAGGTATGTCATTTGTAAGTGCACAGAACATATACAGAAGGATACAGCTCTAACCCTTAAAAGCAGGCAGGTTTAAGAAACATTTCATTTTTACTTCATTCAATTCTGATTTTTTTTTGTTTCGTTTGTTTCTATTTTTCCAAAAGCAATGCATATTTCAGGCGAGTCGTGCATGTATATAAGTCTCTGCAATATTTAAATCATCCTGCATTTTTAAACAATGTTTATTGGCAAAAACCCAACACATCAATACTTTATTAGAACAGACCGCAATCTGAAAATAGGATTCTTCCAACGAACAGACGTCCTAAACCAAATTTAGAGCGAAGACTCATAAAGGAGGGCTCTTTACTTGCCTTCATCACGACAGTTCCTCTAATGACGTGACCCATGGTGCCAAAGTCAAAGTCATCCTTCACTTCAAAATAAAAATTATCTTTGTCTGGGCTGATGGCCTTCAGGAGCTTGGTGATGTTGTTGGAGTACAGGGTGCTGGCCTGGGTGGCCATTCGGCTGGGGAGGTCTGTGTAGCCGATGTGAGTGACCCCCTGAACGAACGAAAATACAGTCAGAAAGGCCTATTCCCACACGCTCGCACCCTCCTAGGACAATCTCGGTCACGGCCAAGGCCACGTTTTGAAACTCTATCTTTGTAAGTTTACACATTTATACACATACAAACAAATCTATATTTCAAAGGAGCTTAAAATGTGCCTATTTCTTATTTTTCAACATTTCAGGCTTCAGTCTCTCTAAACACATATAAAGGGACGGCCGCTCTCACACCCGCCCCTGCAGAGGTGGGAAGGCCGAGGGGCAGCTTGGTGGTACCTTGTGCACATACAGCTCGCCCGGCTTGGTGGTTTCGAAGTTCCCGCCGGCCTCGGCCGCCAGGTCCACAACCACCGAGCCCTCCTTCATCGACTCGATCATCTCTCTGCTGAACAGCACCGGAGCCTTCTTCCCTGGTGGGAACAAACGGTGCGGGTTAGAGCACACATTTCTAACTACATTCGGACTATTACAGTCGTCTCTGGGCACTCAGGAATTCAACATCTGGACTTTTAACTCTTTCCAGAGGCCCCTGAAGTCTGTGCCACGGGGGACGCGGGTCATTCTGAGGCAGCATCGAGCGTGAGCTTTCAAAGCCAGCGTGCGGGCCAGAGCCACCTGCTCTTCGAAAGGTTACTCCCGGCGCCACTCACCAAGAGATCAAGATTGCACTTGTTTTTAAAAAATGCAGAATAATAATAAGCTATTCAGGAAACTACAGGCACCCAAACTGGACAATTCACAAAAATCACAAATGTCAAGGGAATATTCAGTAGTAATTTATGAACTAGTCATTTTAACAAACATCACCAGGTTGTCCTGCATGTTATATGATCGACCTTAACGCAGTATAACTTCAAGGAGAGTCAAGAAAGTGCCATCCATGACCAGTAGGCATGAAAAGATGCTCAAGGTCACTAATCATCAGAGATGCACATCAAAACCACAACGAGGCATCACCTCACACCTGTCAGAGTGGCTCCATCAACAAATCAGCAAACAAGCGCTGGCGAGGGTGTGGAGAGGGGAAGCCAGGGCACCGCTGGTGGGGATGCAGACTGGGCAGCCACCGTGGGAAATAGTACGGAATTTCCTCAAAAAATTAAAAATAAAGCTTCCTTTTCACCCAGCGATCCCACTTCTGGGAATATATCCAAAGAAACCCAAAATTTATTTCTAATTCAAAAGAATATATGCACCCTTATGTTCATAGCAGCATTATTTACAATAGCCAAGATACAGAAGCAACCCCAGGGCCCATAAATAGACAAGTGGATTAAAAAGCGGTGGTACATATATATATAGCGGAATATTACTCTGCCATAAAAAGGAATGAAATCTTATCATCTGTGACAACATGGATAAACCAAAAGGGTATTATGCTAAGTGAAATAAGTCAGACAGAGAAAGACAAATACTGTATGATTTCACTTATATGTGGAATCTAAAGAACAAAATAAACAAATAAACAAAATTGAAACAGACTCATAGATACAGAGAACAGACTGACGGTTACCAGAGGGGAGGAGGGCTGGGAGGCTGGGGGGGAAAGGTGAAGGGAATAAAAACTATAAATTGGTGGTTACAAAATAGTCCTGGGGATATCAAGTACAGCATGGGGGATATAGTCAATAATATGGTAGTAACTATGTATGGTGCCAGGTGGGTACTGAAAATACAGGGGGAAATACTTTGTAAAGTTTATGATTGTCTAACCACTGTACGATACACCCGAAACTATTATAAAATTATACTGAATGTAAACTGAAAAGTAATTTGAATGTAAATTGAAAAGTAAAATTTTTTTAAAAAGAAAGACCCATGAAATGACAATGGTAGGGTACCACAACCCCAAAGGCTCAGGAATCACTCATACACTTTCATTCTCACTCAACAACTATTCTGAGCCTCTGGTGGGTCAAGCCCTCTGCCTCGGGCTGAGATTATGCTGGTAGATACACAAAAAATCCCTGTTCTCACGGAACATTCTCCTTATGAGATACTTCACATTTTAAATTCACGCACTAATACTTACATAGAACATAAAGCACCAAACATAAAGATTTTTCAAGTTAATATACATCTCTATGTTCAATGGGGGCCCGTACTGTACACACATGTTCAAGTTTCATAAAACAATGTAAGTACCCAAACCAAAAGAAAACAATAAAATAAACTTGCGGCATTGACAACAGGAAATCAAAGAGTTGGTTGGCTAATTTATCTCTTCTTTTGAAAGTTTTCAACTCTCTGTTTACAGAATTGTGGTAAAAACATTGTCAATTTTATAAATAAAAACCTATTAAAACTAAAATTTGCATTGTAATCTGTTTTTTCAATCTACTCGATTGGAATATGTGTGATACAAAAAAGAAAAATAACCTTTCTTTACAGCACAAAGCTGTAAGGATACAAGGGGATGCTGACGCAGCACCTCCTCCTTTCTCGGTGCGAACTTCACACGTCCAAGGTGAAGCCCAAATCCTAAGCCCGCCTGTATGAAGGCCGCCGTCCTGGGCTAGAGGTGCTCTTTCGAACACTCCCTGCCCACCGGCCCTGCTGCTCTGGCCCCACTGGGCTGGCTGCCACGCGGTTTATCAGGGGACCTCTGGGTCTGTCTCCCGAGTCTCTGAAAAAGCAAGAATTGAGGGGCTATTTCCCCCCGAAGTCCTGGTGGCCTAACCACTTCTCAAGACGCTCTGGAAGATTCCTTTCCTCCCCCTCCCCACTGCAGTACAACAAAGGCATCCTCGGGAGTAACTAACCTTGACTCAAGCGTGGGCATTAGGGAGAAAACCACATACATCTGAGGGCTCCTCCCAAATTAAAGGCCACGCTGTCCGGCTCTGCGGTGATTTAAAACCATGGGTCATACGGCTGCACCCACAGGAAGCGGGGCAGGCAAAGCACCAGCCTCACGCCCCAGGTATTGACTGTCATCTCCCTCCCCGTGGTTCTCAGGTCCAGAGCCCCTTCTCTGCGAACCAGCCTCTCGATTGTCCCAGCGTTTCCTCCCGCCTCACTGGTACCGTCCTCCCAGGCTGGCACTGCGTACACTACTCTTCTGACTCAATCCAATTAGGATCTGGGTCCACCCCCTTTGTCTTCATCTAACTGTATCAACTTCATGGCCATCGACCTCACAGATTTGATTTGGCATCTGATTTCTCCTGCCCTCCAAATCCTGGCTCCTTTCTTTCTTCTGAGACATCTATAGCTAAGGGTCCATCCCTAGACTGTAATGCTACCACTTTAGGAGACAAGTGGCCAAAGCTATCGAGGCTCCCTAGAAAACGTCTGAGGTACCACCTACTGTCTTCTTTGACTTGACTCATTTGACCTTCACAAAACAATTATGAGGTTGCTGACACCCATTAAGGCCACACACACACACACACACTTGAATACCACTCTGAAATTCAATCACTTTTGAAAAGATAGCATATTCTTTCACATAGACTAATTTATTTAGAGTCTACTCAAATAACTAAAGGGTAGATTTTAAAAGTGACTTAGCCCAGCTGGTGTGGCTCAGTTGGTTGAGCACCAGGAGGTCATAGGTTCCATTCCTGGTCAGAGCACATGCCTGGGTTGCAGGCCTGATGCCCAGTAGGGGGCACGCAGGAGGCGGCCTATTGATGTTTCTCTCTCTCATCAATGTTTCTATCTCTCTCCCTTCCTCTCTCTCTAAAAAAATAAAATAAAAACTATTTTTTTTAAAGTTTACTTAAGTCATAAAAAAATATTTAAGACATGGAATTATTATCTAAAAAGCACACAACAAAATAGTATGTATAGGGTGCTTCCATTCAGTAAAAACAAAACATCTATACTACACCTACGAATGTTTCACAAATACGTATACTTACACATACATAAAGTATTACTTACGCTATACAGTTTCTATCAAAGTCTATACAGTGCCATGTTTAACAATACCAGGATATCTTCGAGTGGTGAGACTATGAATAATTTATTTTCTTCTTTGTGATTTTCCTTATCTCCCAAATTTCCTATAAGAGCTTGTTTTAATTTTGTAATTTAAAAAATTAACTGAGGACTGAAAGGGACTACAGTGATGAATGTGACAGGACAGCTGCCTTCAAGCACTCACATGTGGATTAATTTTTTGAAAATTCTGAAAAGTGCAGAGATAAAAATTGAAAACAGAAGGGGAAAAATAGGGCCAAAAAAGAAGCAGGGTAACCCACAAAAGTTCCAGATGAGCAAATCCTCCAACGCACGGGTCAAGCAACGGAAGAAGACTGACAAGGCGACCACAACACTGTCTAACCCTGGTGGACCAAGTTGACAAAAATGTAGCGTGTGACACAGGTGGCATCACAAACAGGAGGGACAAAAGGGATAAGATAGTTAGCTAGGTGCTGGGGGGAAATCAACCGAACCTAATACATTTCAAAGTAAACTCCACACTCCATAGATCAAAATTAATTACAAAGAAGAGAATCAGCCCATAAAGAAGAAAAGAACCGCACTGAATCTCTCTCTAGTCTTTGGATTAAAAAGTACTCTCTAAACTTAAAGCAGTGGAGAAATACAAATCTATAGGTTTAAATATGAAAAATACATATTACAATCCTCAAAAAAATCATAAATATGACAAAAATTAATAAGAAGCTCACAGAAATTAAAAAAAAAAAAGATAAGATCCTAACAGATAAATGAAAAATAATGCAGTCATTTCAAAGAGAAAAGGCAATGACCAAGTGAAAATCAAACAGAAACCAAATGTCCGCCCTCAGTGAAAATCAAAGAAATGTAAGTACAAAAAGTGGGATATGTCGTCCTCTCTGAGAGTCAAAAAAATCATAACAATGTTGAAATGAAACAGCTAGTCGGACAGTCAAGTGATGAGATTAGGAACTGCACAACCTTTCAGGAAAGCCTCGTTCACTGAGCCTGTACCCACTGGCCAAAACGTCAATATCCGTTCATCCCGTAATTCTATTTCTACGATCTGACTAATCCTGATTAAACTCATGAAAACCCACACAAAGGAATAATGCAGAAAAAATGTTAGATAAAAAAATAAAAATATTTTTTAATGGACCCAAACTGAAAATAAACAAAAAGCCCAACGTTGAGGGAACAGTTAAATTAAAAAAAGCACATTCAAACAAGAAAATTCTATAAAACCATTAAAATGTATTTATTTACAAAGAGTTCCTAAGGACGCGTCATATTATATTAACACATTGTTTGCGGGTAGTTTTCATCGCGCGCTCTACTACCAGTCAACGTAAAACGTATAAATACGTTTCCCGCATACAATGTGTTAAGGAGAAATTTTTATGATATAACATTAAATGCGGAAAGTAAGAAAGACATTATATTTTGATCTAACATAATAAAATGCCCGGAGAAAAGTTAAGGGAAAATGGGAAAATGTTAA